ATGAATACCTTAGGGATAAAAATAATGAAAAATGTGAAATGGAGACCAAACAAACTATTGAAAATTATATCAAACTTAAACGTAAATCAGCATCTACAAAACTTGAAAAAATGCTTGAAGCCATTTTTATCCGAAAAGGCATTTCAGCTGATTCTCTTGATATAATGAACACTTGCCTAGAAAAGATCTTAAAGAACTTACAGGATAAATTTTCTGAAGAACAACGTAAACAAAAGGTTAATGAAATATGGAATAAATTGCGTAATAATTTATTATCAAAAAACCAAGACAAACCGGTGGAAATACAAATAGATGAAGAAGTAGATGATGAATATAGTAAGATATTGCGAGCAGATCTTTACAATAAATATAAAAATGGAATTAAACCAGATTTATCTCAATGCAAAGCATATAATAAAATCGAAATTATGCGATTTTCTTCAAATTTGGAAAGAAGAGACATTGATCTCCTTTATAATAAAATAAACAACTTGATAAATTTCATATTAACAGAAAAAGAACACTTTTATAATGGAATTGTGCGTGAGCTTAAAGGAAAATTAGATAAAATGTTGAATGATTATTCAGCCAATCTTAATATAAAATTTTTGTTCGAGTTTAAATGGAATGTTCACGTATATACTTTGCTAACATTTAAATCAAAAATGATAAGTTTTCAAGCAAACTGGGATAAGGAACATACACCGCTCGGAATGCTTGATCAAAAAAAAGATGAATATTTGAACGTGATCAATAATCGTCTTCGATATAGTCATGAATGTCTTTCTGAAGGCCATACCAGTGGGGACTATTTATTGAGAGTAATTCATAAAAAAGGCCATGATTGCAGGAAATCGTGATCGAAAAGATGGGGTGCTTCGTAATGCTTGGATAAGCAACGCTGAAACAATCAGACTTAGGTATTTTAATAAACTTGCCGAACAAGTTCACGAAGGTTACAAACAAGAAGCTATAAGATACTTTATAAATCCACAACGAAGTATAGAAGAGTGGTTTAAAGATTCGGTTAATAAAGATTCAAGTGGAAATCCAGAACAAAAATATAATGATACTTTTAATGCAGAATTTGGTAGAGTTCATCAAGAAATTCGCAATTGCCAAAGTTTTGAAGAAATAAAAGTTTTTGTAAATGATTATATGACACAAGTTGATAAAATTGACTACAAGTTGGATCTTAAGGACAGTTCAAGTGCTGATTTTAACATATTCCGTAATGCTATTGAGGAAGAGTTTGAAACTAAAGGAAATGGTCGTTATCCAAAACAAGAATCATTTCAAAAACCGTCTGATGATGAATCGGTTATGGAAAAACTTGGATGTACAGAACCATGTTACTGGTGCCATGCACTGTGCTGGGGACAACGGGGCCATGCTGATGACCAATGCGAAACTAAAATGCATCATACTAGCCACCAGCCGGGAGGCCTTTGTGGAGTAAATTACTTATCTACAAGAGAATTGGTTGTAGAATCGTGTCATGCAACGTTAGATGATTGTAATGTGCGGTATAATTCTATATTAAAAAAATGGGGTGAAATAAAATCTAAAGATTTCCCAAATTGGAAATTTGAACCCCATTACAACACCATTTTTAATGATCTTATGAGCTGGTTTTTTAAGGAATTACACGAGGATTTAGCAAAATATCATGATCTTGTACCGGCACGTCAAAAAGAGATGGAAAAGTCAGGTTGTCTAAACTTGAATTATGTTGACATTGCCAGTGTCTTGAGAGAAAAGAGTGGAATAATTCATTTAAAGAATGTCTGATATCAATTTTCCAAAACCATTAACACACCAAAATAGTTAACCGACAAATCTTAGTGATTGTTTTATCTTATTATTTTTTTTATTCTTACTATTATCCTTTTTATTCTTACTATTATTTTTTTTTATTCTTACCGTTATCTTTTTATTATTATATTTTTTCATTCTTACTAAATTTTATTTTTTTTTTATTCTTACCGTTATCTTTTTATTATTTTTTTTTCATTCTTACTAAATTATATTTTTATTGTCATATTGAAATAACTTCATTAGCATGTCTGTATACAGTCATGCACCATAGTTGCAGTTTCTAAACTCAGCACCTCTCTAAATCAATGTTGGCCTATGACCTGTTATTAATTATAGGCTATGACTTTATGACCTGTTATGACTTATAATACCATTACATTATGACTATTTTGGTCATATAAAATTGGATATGATCTAAAATGGTCAATACTGCTATCAATTCATCCTTAAACTCTGACCCAAATATATCAATATATTTTTAGTAGTTTTTTTGTTAAAAACCTAATTGTAATAGATTATCAGTTATTGACTAAATGATGTAATAAATACTACAGAAAAGTTGACAGTGCTTTGAGAATATTATCACTGTTCATTTTCCTTCTTACCTTTTATATACATTTTTTTTCTTTCTTTGCTATTTATCATGGCCATTATTGTACTCAGAATTTGTAACAATAAAGAATTAGGTTAGCTGCGTAGATTGTGATGACGCGCAGAACCAGTATGATCATGTACGTTGTGACGGTGAAAAATGGTATAACAATAAAAACTAGCACAAAATCTACTAAATCTAACAAAATCCTTTCTCAACACCCTAACTGGTAGGCTTTGATTGAGGCAAAGATTGATTTGGTCTAAGAATAGGATGTTTATGATTACTGCGGTGATAACGGGGACAAGATAATGTTGTTGGACGAACCATTTTGGGCAAATGGCGAAAGACGAAACCTAAACCTGGCAAAAGACGAAAGACACAACTCCCCGGTGAAACTGGCGAAACTGGCAAACTACGAAATCTGGCGAAACCCCTGTCGAAAGGCAAAACCTCGGAGAAAACCAAAAGATCAAATCCTCTGAGACTTTGGAAGAGACTAAGCCGTGTTGGTGAATGAAACTATTTTGCATAGCTATTAAGTGTGAGTTGCGTCGGAAAAGTTGCTGGGCCGAAATGTGAAAACTCACTACAAACATATATTGTCTAGGGACAATAAGTGAAATAAGCGCCATAAGTGCCATAAGTATGTACTATAAGTGCCATAAATGCCATAAGTACTGGGGTGGTAAATCAACTAAGTAAATCAAAACTATGTGAGCAAACTATGGAATTTGATATATTACAGATTTTCACGTTACACGAATGAAATCAATTATTGCTATATTACATATCGATATCAATTTAACTGCTAATATATTTATTAAATTTAATTACTTTAAAACGATGCAACTTATTGAATACCCGAAGAATTACCTTGAGATTTTCACAAGTAACTTATTAAGTGTTGGAGAATAAAGTTACGCTTTTGGATTTTCTATTAACATATTGTAACCGTTGAATGGGAGAGCTAATAAAATAAGACAGAAGTGTTGCCAATCTAACTCCAACGGTGTACAGATAATAAGGGTAAGTGAAATGGGTCTTTTATAAGCGTTATAGAACTAAGAGGGCGAGATGATACTATAGAGTAACACTTTGATATCAAGGAATGATGATAATAGGCGATGCAATAATGGGTGATGCTGTTAAAGGTGATATCAAGGGGGGTGATCTTAAGGATGGTAATGTGTAAGCGGACGATGATTAAGTAATATCAGTGATAACTTTAAGTTCACTAACCAAATCTGGTAACTATACGTCAGTCGTGTTCTAATTACTAAGGTTAATGGCAATATTTGATTCCACACGTAGGTCAGAATTCGAGTTCTTAATAAACCAAACGAAGTTACAAGTCAATTCAGTCCGTCGAATTGAGTCTCGAAAGGGTTATTAAAGTTACAAGTCGAATTCAA